AATCAGTTAAATGACGAAACTTAGATGTCTATTTACTTGTGACCACTCAGTGTATATATTGAAAGATTATTTTGATCATTTTTTATACTAAAGCCACATAGAGCTATCTGCTTTGTCCACCGCGAGGAATCAAACTCCCGATTTTAGTATTTAAATCAGTAGACTTACAACTCTCCCACTGCGGGACAAATATTTTTTTAAACATTTATATAGGTGATATCCATATAAATTTGTAAAATATATCAAGATCCTGCTGTGCTGTCGATTGCCAGAAATTTATAGTTTGGAATTACTTTTTTATGCGTAAGTGAAATTTGTATTTTTTAAACCGATAACAAGTTGGTAAACAACGGTTTAAAAGCTTAAAAAAGTGATTTATTCTTTGGTGAAAATATTATACGTTTCTTCAGAAGACAGACCAATGTTATGTCGAAACATGTAGTGTGTTCCTCAAAAAAATAACCACTTCATTATTCTTATATATATTTTTTATGTGTAAACTTATTATTATTGTTATGTATCTGCTCCTTTGTTAATTTCAGATATAAATTCTTTCCGAGAAACTTCAGCGATATAAGTCCTTTCTTAATTAAAACTAGTTTATTATTTCTCGATACAACTTTGTAATACACAGATTTCCACAGTCAATACGTTTGCAATCTCAATAACAAAATGCACACGTAATATTACCGTCACTACCGATCGCTCGACTCAAATCTGTCTCTGCAATTTATCTGCCTACCATGCTGGTTTTACTCGCCAGGCTTATATATTAAAACAGAGGGCGGTACGAATGCACTCGGACCTTCATGATCCTTCTAGAAACTCATCACGTGTTACCAGATCACGTGACTTCCGCTGTCGTAACATTATATTACCATACTTCTTCACTCAAATACATACTAAGTTATTTAACTTGGTATGAATACTTAGACTATTTTTTATACTTAACAAATAACAATTAATTATAAACTTGAAGACAACCATACTAATAACTTGAATAACATTAGATATTAAAGTTTAAGAAAAAAAATTAAAGTATTATTGATTGTGACAGGAACTTAATTATCTACATATCATGAAATCAATGCAATTTTCACAGCTGTAAATGACTACAATGCACCAATATAATGGGAAAAACGCAATTGTGGATTACATCCTATGGAGTACAACTATAATCTATACTGTTACATATTGAGAATTTGAAACAATCCAAGGCCGCGTTAAATAATTTAACTTTTACTAGATGAGACGTACCTTGGATTTACGTTTAGAAATATGCCGGTATTTTATTTAATTTATGCTATTCGCCAACAAGATTGATTCACACCGTTTTTGGTTTTGACACAAATAAGCTTTAATATATATACACACAACACTATAATCTACAATAGCAACCATTATCATTAATTATTACAAACAAAGTTTCATAGACAGAAATTTCAATAACTTACAAATAGCCTAAAATCGTCTTTCTAGTTCAGAGTCTTGATATTCAGCGAGGTGTACGTACTGTTACGACAGCGGAATTCATGTGACGCTGGTAACACGTAATGAGTATCTAGAACGTTTGTGAAGGCTTGAGTGTTTGCCAGGCGCCCTCTATTTCGTGTATATAAGCCCGGCGAGAAGTGTAAATACTTTAGTGTAACCAGTTATTATCCCTCTCCCACTCGCCCCTGTAACTACTTTAGTGTAACCAGTTATTAACCCTGTCCCACTCGCCCCTGAAACTACATTTCCAGTTTTTCCCTTTTATGCTCTCGGTCCCTTTGCTTTTTTTTTTCTATTGCATTATTTTTGGGATCATCAACAGTTGGTTCTCTTCATTTAAGAAAATTTTTAACTTTGGGCGACTTTTATGCCGTGTTCTTTGACTGAACATCTTTTGGCAACACTAGTCTGTCATGGGTAGACTCTTATTTATAAGTACAAAGTTATTTTGTAACAACAACATGGTGATATCTACAAAATGTAGGTGTTCCCAAAACAGAAATTATTTATTTTGATTAGGAAAGGGCACTAATTCAAACTTAACTCATTACCACCTAAGCCATTTTAGAGCTAATTGCATGTTTTCCATATGTTGCTAATTTGAGGATTTTGCTTATTACAAATTCAAATTTATGAAGGAATAATTAAAAGCCGTTTCAAGACATGAAAGAACCGATAAAGAACTGGTTGACATATAGTTAGTGGTAATGTAATTGTTATTATTTTTCTATCTCTCCAAAATATGGAAATGGGTTATAGTGGATCAAAAATAGATTACACCAACAGTGATGCATGGATTTTCTATCATTATTTATTTTGATTAGGAAAGGACACTACTTTAAAGTGGAACAAAAGAATAGATAACACCAACAGTGATGCATGGTTGAGTAACTAAGTTAAATTATTTATATTTCATATATGCATGTGATATTGTTAAAATATATAAAATATGTCTTAGTGCGACTCTTTACTCTGCTCAGTGTACATGTAGATCACCGTAGAGAATATCTAATAGTGCTTTTTGTAAAGTGTTATAGACCAATACATTTTAATTTTGTGGTGCCTTTTAGTTTCTATCATTTTTTGCACAAATGCTATTTTTTATTACTCCTACAAAAATTTAAAATTTATATTGTATACCAATGACAAAAAATACATATTTTTAATAATTAAATTAACTTTTAAAAAGTGAATTGCCTATTTCGGATTGTAGTAAATTGTATACCAAACATACCACCACTGAGCTGACAAGAAGTTCCATCTCCACCACATTCTCCACAAGCGTCGAACCATAAAGGTTGGTCTATTACTTGTCGTCCTGAACAGTCTTTATATTCTAGAGAGAACAGGAAAAGGTCTGGTGCAACAGAAGGATGATCAGAACAAGGCTGGAAAAAATTTATACAAGAAACACAATTACAATTTGAACTGTTCATAACATGACAAATACCCAAAAAACGAGATGAGTTTGTTTCAATATTGGAATACGAAATTCATTGTTCTAATCGATATTTTTCCATTTCATATTACTTATTGGTATACATATCACTTTTTCCATTTCATATTACTTATTGGTATACATATCACTTTTTCCATTTCATATTACTTATTGGTATACATATTAATTTTTCCAG